GATACTTACTGATGCAGTTTGCCTCACGCGGTTCCCCCTAAACAGAAAGAACAGAGGAGTAATGTGGTAATATTAATAAGTTTCAGTGATCTTCTCATCACACATAACAAGTATAATTATGACTGCAACAGTTTATCTTGTGTAATTCTGTTACAACTATCTAACTGTACAATTAATCAAAATATTATCTAAATCGCAATATGGCCAAGTGCAATATCCAAATCACAGAAGCTGCAACTTATGTGGTGAAAGTAAAACGCATGGCAAAATAGCATTTTAATTAAGTACAAACCAACAGACGGCAGACAGATTAGACAGAAGTTAAACTCTATAACTTTAGTTTAACTGCTTATTATGACGTTAGCTCTCCTCCACTGATAAACGCGGCATTAGCTTTGTGGCTAATTTAGCAACGGGTAGCATTAGCTGCTGTAAGCGATGTTAGAGAATATTTAGAAGTGATGAACTACGGAGAAATGATAGGTATGATGATTAGTATATCAGAATACGCTACCTCTGAAATCTTAGCTCTTCTTCTGATACAAGAAAACATGTATTTATAGGGACAGATCCCAAGAAATGTCACATTGTCATGATTGTATTAGTTTTTTTACAGTGAAAATGAATATCGTGATGCAAAAATTATCATTCCCACTCATCGTGAATATGGTAAACCATAATATATTGCAATGTGAACGTTTTTTTACCATATCATGTAGCCCATTATACAGTTCAATTTCTTATCTCGACATAAAACTTTCCATTTGTTGGTCACTGTGTTGTAAAGATATGTTTTATGTCAACTGTTTAATACCTCAGAGATGCAGTCTCTCAAGTAGTTAATTTGCTCTGAGCAGCCCTCGATAAGAAGAGTCCTGATGTTCTTCATCACCACCATCTTACTTTTGCTGTCATGATTTGCCAGTGTGTGGTTCTTCAGTGAACATATGAAAGACAATAAAATAACAGCTTTACAAACTACTTAAAGCAGGTGTATGTACGTAAGTGAATTTGTATTTGTAAACCTCACGACTACTGCTTCTGGTGTGTGTGATATTTTGTACTGTTTAACATATTAGGGAACATATGTCACTGAACTAAGCAATTCTGGCTTTTCTAACTTACAGTGCTGTTGGTCCACCAGTAATGACAGTTGGTCGCAATAAAGTCTGACACTCTATAATGTGTCTGTCCAGCATCCTGGGTGACAGTGCATGGAACATCCTGTGCACAGCATAGCAGAAGAAATCCAACTGGGGGAAAAGACAAATATATTATCAAAAGCATGATTCTTGGCCAACCAACACACCTTCTAGGTATTCCCCTCTGCCACCACTTCCTCTTCTACACACACAAGGACAAGAAATGCAGACTAATACTGGGTACATACCAAAGGATATTTACATCTTTTCAAAAGATTTTCAAAATGTGATAGACCACAAACATGAGGAGAAAAAATCCTAGATATAACCGTTTTGCTCCTAAACAGATTTTCAATCCGAGTCTAGACTGTGAAATCTTCAGAATAAGCATGGCGGGCGATATGCAGGGAGAAATTGCGACGTTGAACAAACATTCATGCTGTTGCCACAAATATACAAGCTGATCCTCCATCTCTGCTGTCCACATTAATTTATCCGTTGTGCTACGCCACGAATGTGTTCCTTACGCTTCTGTCTTCAATCATCTCGCTTTCTGGTTCGATATTGTTCGTGATAACTTCCTCGGGGATCCCCACACACGTCACGACTCCTCCGACGTTCTTCCGACCAGGTTCCCGACACTCTTAACACACTTCACACGAAGGGAGAATCTGATAAGATCATCTGTAGAACCATCAAGTTAATCGGGACATACCTAGGATTGTCGTAAGGGGGGAAATCAGACCAAAATCAGCCCGATTATCTTTTGGTGTGTACCCAGCATAAGACTCTCTCACACACACAACCAGTGTTCGAGGAAATCCGCAGTGTGACTAAAAGAAAGCACGTGGCTCAACAATAAAAACATTTACTCCTAAATGAATAAAATAAATGTAATAATATATCTGAATAATTAAAAAGATTTTCTGATCCTGCCTAATGACGGTATAGGCTACTCCGTCATCATGGATGTGTTATTACAAACGATAACTTTTCGGTAGTGAAGTAAAAATGCGCGTTGTGTTGATGAGCAGTCTATGATGCACTCTCCCCGATGATGCAATAAACCACACGCCAAACGGAAAGAATGTCACTCTTATTAGTATACAGGCTTCGGTCTTTCAGTTATTGAATAAAAGAGTAGGCTAGATTACTTACAGGAGCTCCACAGGTAAATGCCACGCATCATCCTCCCTGAAGAGACGCGTACAGCGGTCATGACTCCCGTCTGCTCCTGTTGATCAAACGGTCATCGTTCATCTCGTTGCTCGCCACTGGATTTCCCCTTAATTTCTCTTGTGATCACCTGATCCTTGCAGGACGAGGGAATGCTGAAATGAGTCTGATGTAATTTAGGCTGGTGTTTGCTGCCACTTACAGGCAGGACTAAGATTTAGTTATGTGTCTGCATACTGTATCATATACCATCCTCCCCTAAAGTGCTAAGGAATTTCACCTTTTTTTGTTGTGTAAATAAATTGAAGTATTAAATAAATAAATTATCTGCTATAACCTACATAGCTGGATGACAAGACTGATATCAGTTCTTATCTGCATCAGTTTATTTGTTTATACCTATAACAATAATAATCTTTTTTGAGAGCAGTGGAAGGTTTTAAACATAACACTGATGTATCATCTGTGCTTACATATCAGTATTATATGCATGCTAGCCTATATTGTTATCCCCTCCTGCCCAACTTCACTTGTCAGCAAATAGTTGCTTATTTACACACACATAGAGAACAATATTATAGTTCATTAGGAGTTGTGTTTGTGTCCACCTGAGGAATTTAAGTCCAAACGTTTTTGGTATATACCAGCTCCTGGATATCTGAATCTTCAGCTGCTAATGCACCCCTGTTCACCAGCTAGTCTTTGCGTCTGCCTGCTGCTTGCTGCCTAGTACTGTTATTGTAAAGAAAACTGTGTGTTAAAGTCTTGCACTAATTTCTTTATTTGACACACTGCCAGGTGCAGATCAGTGTGAGCTTTAATGCAAATCCATTCATTTAATTAATTAAAAAAAACCAGATTAATTAAAACATGTTGTATAGCCATCCTGTTTTCTCAAGTAAACCATGCTCTATTTATTTATCTCTCCATCATAGGGGGGTGCTGAGGATAAAGTTTAAGTCTTGCACTAACATTAAAGGTACCCTGTGGAGTTTTTAATCACTATTAGCGCTAAGGAGCAATGCTTTAAGATGTCACCCCCAGTGGTGGCTTGTCAATAGAGGGCGCCGCCCCCATCAAAATTCCAGAAATACACATGTATATAAAAATTAAATAAAAACGAAATAGTTTTACTTATACGATGTGTGGTAGTAAAGAGCCTCAGATTTTAATAAAAACTGGCTTTAATCGGTGAACTATTTTCTATGTATTTCATTATTTCATGCTGTTTCATGGGCGAGGGACGCCGGACAAATGGATGTCTATCTGAGTCCTTAAATTTTCAGGCAGCATGTGTCTTGAAGCTGGTCTCTAATTGGTTTCTTAAAGATTCTCCTCCGGACGCAGGTCGCTGCGTCCCTGGCGAATCAGAATTGGATACATGTTATTTTATCCAATCTGATTGATTGGTTCTTGTCACCTGTCATTCTTGGCCACTACTGTACTGCGAGTGTGCGGGCGACACCGTCACTTCGACTCTGCCAAAACCTTGCTAGGCTGATCAGTGATAACTTTCATATAGATAAATGGCAGCATTTAAACCAAATTCTGTCGCTGGAAGAAAAATAAATAAATAAAGGATCTCGGACCTGACCAACCCGATTTACAAATCCAGCAGCAGGCCAGTGACAGAGGATGAAGCTACACCCGAAGCTTTACCCGCGCTTGTTATGAGAAATGGAGGTGGCTAGCTGGATGTGATGTTAGCAATGCCCTTTTTTGCTTTCCCTGTCTTTTATTTCAAAGTGTCGGCACTGAAGTTTTGTGGACAACAACGGGGGTAAGAGACCTCAAACATCGATCTGAAAAATGCAAACGTCATGACAGTAGCCGCAGCCATCTTGATAATAGCATGAAACAGAGTTAGCATTGCTGAACAACTAGATGAAGGCTATAGGATTGGCATTAGAAGGCACAACGAAGAGGTGACAAAAAATCGTCACATACTGTCCAGGATAATAGACTGTGTGAAATTTTGTGAAGCCTTTGAGTTGGCTTTACTTGGCCATGATGAGAGTGAGAGCTCAGATAACCCCGGTATATTTCGCGGGTTGGTGGATTTTGTTGCCTCTCTTGATGGAGCATTGAAAGAGCACCTTGACAGTGCTACTGTATTTAAGGGAACGTCAAAAACTATACAGAACGAGCTACTGGACTGTATGTTGTCTGTCCAGACAAGTGATGAACTGTAAAATAAGAACCCAAAGTATATCAGTCTGTGATTCCTTAACTCATATTATTATGTAGTATTCAACTAGTCTATATACTGCATAATAGAATTCCTGAAATTCAGTTATGGCTTTTGGTTTAGTGTGCCACCCCAGGATTTTCAGTGGCCCCATCTGGCCACCCCTGAGAAAATATTCTGGGGTTCGATCCCCAGTTCCTCAAGACACCCCAAGACACTCAAATTGTTCCCAGTAAGCATGGTAACTCGATGCCAAAGGTGTGTGGGTGTGTGAACAAGCCACTTTGAAAAGAGCTTCGGATAAAATAGCTATATAATTGTCATCCATTTAGCTTGAAGGTTCAGTGTGTAATAATTAGGAGGATCAATTGATAGAAATGCAATGTAATAATCCATAACTATGTTTTCAGTGGTGACTTACATGATGAACCGTTATGTTTTTATTACCTTCGAATAAGTCATTTCTATCTACATACACCGCAGGTCCCCTTACATGGAAGTCACTATGTTTCTACAGTAGTAACAATCTACAGAGCGTGTTTCATCACTATGCTGAATGCACACAAAAAACAAGTATAAGAAGTAGTAGTAGTCTAATGTAATAATGTACAACCTCATAAAGAAAAAGTACAAAGTTAGGTTTTTTAGGTAATTTATAATTGCCATTAGAATTCATACATTTGTTTTAAAGTACTTATTACGTCCATGGAACAAGTAAAAGCCCAGTGAGCCATTTGTTGCAATTCGCAACCCTCACCACTAGATGCCACTAAAACCTACACACTGAACCAATAGGTTTCCTGAAGAAAATCACCTGCTGCACCTTAGCATCACTGATGTGGACAGGGGTGTGTGTCTTTATCCCCTTTTTCCTAAAATCAATGGTCAGCTCCTTGGTTTTGCTGACATGTTCTCTGGTGGTGTTGTCCAAAAACTTCAAAAGAGTTTTCTCCATATCAGGGGATGCAGTCGTGGATATGAACAGGAGGAGGATGAGCACACAGCCCTGGGCGCTCTGTGTGTTGAGCACTAGAGTGAAGGAGGTCTGAGCACCAATCCGAACTATCTAGAGTCCATTTGTCAGGAAGTCCAATGCCCAGTTGCAGAGCGTGGTACTTAAGCACAGTGCAAATTGCTGATCAGTTCCATGGGGGAGATTATGTTGAAGGCTTAGCTGAAATCATCAAACCGAATTTTGGTGTGAAAAGTAAGTGGGTTGCTACATGTATTACTCTACAAACTATCTAATCTATTCAGACAAACAAAACAAACACAGATTAGATGCAGGCTGCCTTTTGTATGATTTATAAACACTGTCTCTCACACACTGGTGTAGTCATTTTTAGAGAGGAGAGGCTCTGGGCCACCTGGCTGCAGAGGTGAGCAGATGCTGCAGGCGGGAGCTTTGAGGGGGTCAATGTAGGACCACTGCCTCTCCTTCACCATCTCAATGGAAAGCTCTATCTGCTTTTTCACCGGCTTGGAGGACAGACATCTCTGAGGCTGACAGGAGGCAGGAGAGGTGTCTGACTTGGATTGGAGCACATCCGGCTCAAGGTCCGAGTTTGGATCACTTTGTCCCTCTGTGGCCTCCCTCTCCAGTGACCAGCTTAGAGGCTGGGGCTGGCGGCTTGTGGTCTTGGTGTCTGCTCTGTGTCTGGTGCCGTACACCAATCTGGGCATAGGCCTAGCCTTGAAGGTTTGTCGTTCCTCTTTGGGTCCAAGCTTCCCCAGCTCTGCCACAATCTTCGCCTCCCTCTTTCTCTTCTCTCTCTCCAGGAAATGGAAAGGCTGTGGTGAAGCAGCAGCAGAGGCCTGGTTAGTTTTCTTGTCACGGTTACTGTTATTACTGCGACTTCTGCTTCGGTTGGACTGCTGACTGGAGCCACGGCTGATAATTTCATAGAGAGGCAGGTGAATGTGCGCCGGTGCAGGCGATGCCCTGAACTTTTTCTGGCATTCTTGGAGCTCCTCCAGCTCACGTCTCAGCAACGTGTTCTCCAGCTCGATCTCCGAGCGAGTCCGCACCTTGTGCCTCTTCCTCTCTTCCTCTCTCAGCATCATCTGAAAGGGTTTAGGCACAGTGACCTTGGAGTTTGACCTGACCCTGACCCCAGATTGGCGGGACAGTCTTCCTTGCGGTTTCGGACAGAAGGCCCTGGGCTGGAATCGAAACTGCTTCTGGGTCGTTATTTCTTCCGGGCTCAGTAGGAGGTCTCTGGGAGAAAATAGGAAAGAATGAAATGTGACAGTAAGTGTGCAATTTATCTTTCAGAAAACTTCCTCTCCGTCTCCTCATTGGGCTTCCACTCCAACAATAGCTAGATTTAAGAAGTTTCCTGATACTACTGCACTAACCTCCCAAAAGTTCGGTCCTGGACAGGAGTCCTTCTTGGATTGTCCAGCTCCAGTTCCCCAAAGCTGTCCGCTCCACAAAGCTCAGATTGGTCAGAACCGCTTGATGTCTCATTGAAGTCCAGCTCCTCCTGGGAATTGATCCTCTGGAGTTTCCTGGCAGGGCCGCTACTGCAGGATGCACAGATTACACATCGGGGAGAGATAAAAATAAACTTTGTCAGGCAAACAATTGCTAAATATAAGCCAGAAAATGGAGAGGTAAGGTTTTAACCTTCCTTGGGTAACTATGACCTGAATGATGAGAACCTTCACAGAATCTGTAGAGTTGCTTTACTCATGGGCACAAAGACACACCTTAACCTTCTAAAATTATATATTATACATAGTCACATGCATCATACCTACATTTGTCTGAAGAATTGTACAACAGTAGGTGCTACTACAATATTATTTCTGATCTGGACACAAGTATTGGTCAACTGTGCATCGTCAAATATGGATTATATGGATGAAATGGAAGACTAGCCTTCCAAACAAATCTTATCCATAGTGTCTTTTTTTAATGACAATCCCTCAAAAATCTCCTGCCCTGTGATGAAAGAATAAGACTACACAATCAATTCGAGAAGTGGGTTTGTGGGTTTCTGATTCAACTTTCCAATGTCAGTGTACTGTATTTGCTTAATGATTTTGAAAGAGGTAAGAGCAAGCTCAGAATATGAGCTATCAGAGAAAAGAATATGGTAATATTTCTAGTATATTTCTGCACCCTTTGGAGAATATTCTGAAAGTGAGCATTTGTGACATCTAGGTTACATATAATAACAATGCAGTGGCTATATTTCAGTGTGGAGCAGATCCTCTAATAAATGTATCCACCAGTGTGTTTAAGTGCTATCTTAAACATATTCTTATTCTCTTACTTACAATGGGGATTGATTGTCTCTAAGACTGGGCCTTTTCATGATGTTATTGTGGGCTCAATACAGTTTTGCAGTTGGTTTAGATAAATTGTTTTCTGTGCATAGCTAGACACATGGAAATTGGATTATTTAGGCTATGTATTACCAAATCTAGCTTTGTTTTAACATTGATAGTTATTTGTCGTCTATCTGGAAAATCACTTAAACAGTGGTTACTGGGGGGTTCCTCAGAGACTAGTTAAGGCAAACTCTTTAAACAACACAGACATGGAAAAGCAGCTTCATATGAAAGTCTTAACATCTTGCAATTGGAGCTGGTACGACCCTTGCCCTGTTTATTAATGGATCACAGATATAGACATATCAAACCTGATGGACAGTCTGGCCTCTGTGTTCTCTCCTCTTCCCAGACCTCCGTCATCTTCCTCTCCTTGTCTCTCTCTGCCCTGGCTGATGTACATCCTCTCCAGCTCGGCCATGTTCCTCAGGTGAGCGCTCTTCAGCTCCTCCAGCCTCCTGTAGTACTCCTGGTTGGAGAAGTAAACATGATGCTCCCTCTGAAGACCATAGATTTCCAGCGACAGAGACCTGCGAACCCTCCTGCCACCTTTTCCTTCCTCACTGCACTCTGAATCCAGATCATAGTCCTGAAAGGTTGGAAGTTGTCAATGTTATGCCGTTTGGTGGATGCATCCAATATTATCAACATAATAAACAATAATGTACACTTCGCTGTTTGTTATTAGCACCTTATAATGTTTATTTTTACTGTGTTAACATTTTATAGTGATTCTCGAGTTTTATTGAGAATCAGTCTCACTGTATTTTATGCAAATGTTTAATCATTGTTAATGGCTCACAAAAATGTCTACCTTTTACAATATCAACCTGCAATTAAACCTAATAATGTAATTATTCATACTTAACATGAAAACATGTAGTTTATCTATTATTCAACCTTTTCTATATTAGTTTTCTTCAACAGGATTATTACACTATACTTCTACAATGGGTTAATACCTCAATTTTTCCTGGATTTAGTCATTATGTGTTTTTGAAAACTAATGTCAGGCTCAGAATGCACTGCATGCATTGCATCTACCGTGTAACTACTGTGCTATGCTAAGTGAGTCAGGTGAGGATGTGGTGTAACAGAATATACTCAGAGGTGATTTTCATCTTGAATATATGTAAATTACAATGTGGCATACAAATCTTCAATCAGTTTTTTAAATAAATATCTGTGATATATGTGTCTAGATAATATATATAAAGATACTGTATCTCTTTTAACAATTTGTCATGTTAAACTCTAATTCCAACTATAAAACAGTTTAGATTTATGTACATTTATTGTTGCTTACTTACATAATAATTTCTCCTACATTGCATTAAACGTATATGCCCTCAGGAACATACAAGAATTTAATTGAATAATTGAAGGTGTTTTAACTGCTTGGATTAATAGTTACAATCAAATTGATCAACTACATTAACTTGAAATTAGTACACATTTTGTCAATAACTTGTAGAACTTTAGCATGTGGGGTTGTGAGCTTTTTGCAGCCAGTTGTAAATGTAGTTTGTTATCTTTAAAGCCTCACCTCACTGGTAGAGTCCTCGTCTACAAAATAATGGTCTCTTTCCCCTCCATACAGAGCCATTAATTCCTTGTTTTTCAAAGCGGGTGATCGGTGCATCTTTCTCCGTATTCTCCAAATAAAACTGAAATTTCACTACCAGCCTGAAGCAGAGCAGAGCTTCTGTGTGTCCTCTGTCGCCTCAGTCTGCACACTGACCTGCTAGCATGGGTAAATTAGAGCAGGACACCAGCAAAGATTAGCACGCACCTTATTGACACACACACATACACACAGAGACTGAAAGCTTTATCCTCTTAGCAGGAGGAGTCGTGATTTTACAGTCGTCAGGGGTTGCCTTTGGCCAGATGGTCCATATGGTCCAGTGGATTTTCACTTGAAAACATGATTCAAAGTCAGTGTCTGTGTGGATGCTCCCAATCTGATTTACAGATTAACTTTCGTAAATACAACACAAGTGGTGATTTACAGCAACCTGCACCTGTTGCAATTTGGCAAACTGTCTACAGGAGCGAACGCAAAGAAGAGAAATATACCATAGCGGTGACTTACAGTATGTTACATGAAATGAATACCTACACGACTTCCAATCATATTACCAGCTCTACAAGAAGCACCCTCCACCACTCCAACTTAAACCCCACCTCCACCTGTCAGCAGTGTACAACAGACCCAATGACAACTACTGTCATAGTCATAGAGTAAAACATAGAAGTCAAAGAGTCTCCTGCACAGGTACAGAAATATGCAAATACATTTAATTTTCACAGGACGGATAACTGAAATTCATGTTTTACATCATTAACTCCCACTAAAATATATCAAGGGTAAACAATAAAAACGTTTTCATATTCTGTGGCAGCTTGCAACAGAGTGTTTGGAAGAGTAAACCTTCAAAGATGAGAGCTAAACAATGTTTGTGAGTCGGACACCACAAGGAAAAGGAAAATAACTACCCTTAAAGTTAGTAATAAATTCTGCACTATTTGGATTACAGAGGAGGACATGCTGTTTTCTGGAAATGGGGCTCAAAAAATATTAAAATGATCATCAATCAATGACCACTTGCACTGCTGACCTTTCTGGTCCTGTGGCATAAAAGGAAAGCTCCCAAACTTTTGCTTCTAAATGCTTTGGCTGAGATCAAGTGAAGTGAAGCCTGGGCCTCAGTTCAGCTGCGAGATTTTGGGTATTTGACAGATGAAGCTGGAGAGGGAGGACGCATAGATGAGCCAAATGTGTTAATCTGTTTACTTAGGTTTCTCATCACTGTCACTACAAGTCCTAAAGTCTTCACCTCGTGCTTCGACACCTATCCCCATCTGTCTCCTGTCTCCCTCTATTTCATCTCCCATCAATCTACCTAAGAGCCTGAGACAGCAGGAGAGATCTGAAGATGAAGAGACAGGGTGATTTCAGTGCCATTAAAGCAAAATATCATAACATAACGAATGGTTTATTAGTGGTTTCCAACCTCTTTTGCTTATGACCTATTAAAATCAAGAAATATCTAATTGTGCCTCTCATTAAAAGCTATAGCTTTAGTGTGTACATGAGCTATGAGCACTCAGATTGTTTGATCTGAAGAATTTTTGGTGACCCAAAAGGACGAAAGTATCCAGTAACTGAAAAAGAAAAAATCTAAATAAAGATAAAAGCAGACATTTTCTCTTCTTTTCTTATTATCCATTAAAAATCTTGTGATTTTTCAGAATCATCTTGGGATCCATTGGTAGGTCCTGACCTTCAAGTTAAGAACCACTCCATTAACGTAATCCTACAAATATTAATGTAATATATAATTTGAGGTCACTATAAAGTCACTACAGTATAAAGGTATGTAAGAATGGTATATATATATACCACAGTAGGAGGACGGGAAAGCTGCACACTCAAAACTCAAATAATCTCATTTTTTATTATTTTATACAGCCAAAACAACATTGATCCACACGATGGAGCTGTTGTGCTTTTAGTGAAGCAATAAGAAGCTTTTAGTTTGAAACTTACTTTACTTTCAGATGTTACCTTATTATATTCACCTGCTTTACAGTCATCATAATCAAGTCATGCACATCAGTGTTAGCCTACTTAAATTTTTTTTAATTTTAAAGTTGTGTTTTAGTGGTTTAACAGTACTTTTTTTTTTTCATTTTCTCACGTCATAGTTTCTAGAATCATGGGGGGGGGGGTTGTTTATACTCTTTCCTCAATTCTTGAAACACCTTGTTCTCAAAGTTCACAGAGCTTTTATTCAACATCCTTCCAGGTAAACTCCCCTTTGTTTGTGTGTGTGTGTGTGTGTGAGAGAGAGAGAGAGAGAGACTAAAACGAAGTCAAAAAGAAAATAGCCATTCTCTGCAACAAATTAAACTTGTTGAGGGTCACTCGACATGGAGATATCCCAGCATGCAGTGGGCAAAGAAGGGTAACAACAACCAGTCTATTGGAGAGTTTAGGTAAGAATATTTGCTTAATACACACAAGTCAGTAACTCAAAACATATTCAGTACAATGGGGGAAAAATTATTTCTGGAAAAAGAATGCTTGATTTATGTATAAATATATTTACACTGAGCATCAAGAGTCTCATTGCTCAGTTGTTTGATAAATAAATATTAATATGATAAGATATACACTGCCGTATACTGTGGACTTTATTTAGTATTTCTGTATGTCTGCTGTATGTGTGTGTGTGTGTGTCCAGTTTTCCACTGGGCTCCTCAGTGTGTTGGCGTGGAATGAATAGTGGCAGTGTTCAGTCAGAGTGGGGCTGAGTAAACAGTCATCACAAGCTTGGCAGTCCTTTGCCACATACAGCAGTGCTGCTGCACAAAGCCACAGTTCTACTCTGCTTTTGTGGGACAAATAGTGGTTTACTAAACCATAAAACATCTCAAGGGTTTGTTATTTTCACTCTGAAAAACACTCGATATAATGCAATGCTTTACAGACCTCATAAATTAAATTTTTCAGTTTCAGTTTCATGCTTCATGGCATTTAAGAGCAAATGAATACTAATCTCTACAGTCAAACAGTTACTGTATTATTGTTCTTAGGACATCCAAAAATGCATTTGATTTTGTTTCTCCTCAGCTTTGAAACTTCCAGAAAACTCAACAGAGGCCAAATCAGTGCACATTTTTTAAAAGCTTCTTAATACTTATATATCTTTCTAGATCTGTATCTTATAACTTAACTTAACATATTTTGTAGTTTTCCCCACTTATTAGCCATGCTATCATATAATGCCTTTCTTTCTTTTCTACCTTCTGTAAAACTCTTTACAACACTGAAAATGATAAATGTACTACTTACTTACTTAGCCTATTATTCACTCACTGAAATATGGTACATGTTTGATTTGTGCAATATCATTTGTAACATTTCCGACATTATCCCAGGGTTTTTTAGCTTATAATACCAACATAAATTGTAGAGGACTTCTTTTAAAAACCTTTTGTGTTATGCATATGACACAAGACACAATAGCAGCATCAAATGTCTAGGCTGTTGCAGCCTAAAAAATAAGGTTTGATCTTTTTAGTTTTTTAGTCTCATTTAGCAAGATGAAAGCCAAATAAGTGGCTGACATACCTTGAGCGATGATTTCCCATTTCTAAACCCTTTGGAATTTGAACTCTTGCTAGATTATAGCTTTTTCTAACAGGCACTAGTAACTGTAAATATTCTTGAATGCTTGTTTTCAAAGTACAAATACGAGTACGAATAAAAAGACAAACATCAGAAAAAAGCAATACAATTTCTTCTTTTAGCTGCCTTAGTTGTCGTTGCCATTGTGAACCTGATTAAGGCCTTCAACAGCCATTGCATTATCTTTCCTCAGAAAAGGCACAGACAAGAATTAACTTGTTATCAGATTAGCCATCAACATGCACAAGAAAACAGAAATAACAGCAAAGGGTTAAAGAAAGGCAATCAGAATCAAAAAGTTTGATGTCTGTTAGTTGAATTGTTGTTGGCAGGACAAATATCGACTATAAGTACTAATGTTAGTAGATTAATTGAATGGTAAGAGATACAAGTCCTGAAATATGGAAGGATAAGTACTAATTTAAAGTTAAAGCAAAAGGTCTATAAGCAAATCTAAGCTTAAAATAGTTTTCAGCTTAGATTTAAAGGCCTCAAGAGAATCAGACTGTCTAATGTCAGCAGGAGGTTTATTCCAGAGAAAAGGAGCACGGAGGAAAAGGCCCTGCAGCCTGCTGACTTCTTTTTAGCTCTGGGGACACATAACAGCCCCGTATTCTGAGAGCAGGGAGCACAGAATAGATGTGAGGTTTAATGAGATCAGAGAGATAAAAAGGGGTGAGCCCATTTACAAAGTCATATTTTATTTATAAGTGAAAGAGCTCTGGAGCTCCTTCAGGGGTAATTTGTCAGAACAGCCACACCGCCTTCTACAGAGAAGCAACATGACCACAACCTTTCCGGGAGAGGCCCACGTTTAGGAGGAAATCCCCCTCACCTCTTCTCAACTCACATTATGTACACACATGCATTGAGAAATGCATGTAGTTACGCGCACTAACTCGTAACTCAAATGCCACGTGGCCACAGAGAGACACATTTGACCCTCCACAGGAGCCCACACAAACATGATAAAGATCTTATCTGCTAACCTCCCACTTAACGACAGACCTTCACAACCTGTTTGTCTTAGAGGGGTATACACCACCCTCTCGTCAACAAGCCCATCATTTATATTACACAGCCTGGGCTCTGAATGGGTGGCTAATTGCAGTCTAAATGTAAGACACAGACAAACATGGCTACCGCCCTAAAGACCTAATGGGAGGCAATGATAGGTAAAGTTGGTGTTGTCGTACAAGGAATAAATAATTCAAGGTATCATTTCAGGGGAAAAAATGCTTGAACATTTATATGGTCTCCCTGTACTTTTGGTCACATAGGGTAGCCTATGTGACATGACTATCAAAAAAAACCTGCACACTAAGCATCTTGAAATATTTAAATAATACTAAAAATACATAGCATTTAATTAAAGCCAGAAACTGTTTCATAAAAAGAACCTTCTTCATGGAGAATATTGTATTGTATTCATCATTTGTAGCACATGACTTGTTTGTTTGGGATTTGCCTAATCTGCCTGATATGGCTGAAATTCAGTGACAGTGAACTGCAACATTCCCGCTTAGAAATCTGGTCGGGCACTTTTGTTGCATCTCTCTCGCTCACTCTCTTCTTTGTTTCCTCTCACATTTCCACTACAGCTATCGCATAAAGACATCAAATGCCCTGAAAAAGAATAAAATAACAGTGTTAACAGTGTATAATAAATAATCCTTCAAAGCTCATATAACTGGTTAAAATCCTTATAGTCCAGAAGGGGGTGAAACATTCATAAAAAAAAAACATTTTTAAAATATTAATGATCTGCTAAGGTAATATAAAATGGCTTTCAAGATGTTGAAGCCAGTCAGTTAGAAGCAGCAAGAAACATGAAACACTTTCGTTTCTGACAGTTGTCTGTGCATTTAGTACAGGAAACAGAAAGGCAGACTACAGAGTACATTTTTTAACTAATGATATGGTCCACCCATTCACTGCATTTCTTATCTGTATTGGTAAATGCATTCCATGAATTCTTTTTGAGATGTTTGCAATTTCTGGTTTATCTGCATTATCTCTAATTCAATGGCTATTTCCCACAGAATACCTTTCGACAGCCTTCAGGGAACAAATATAACCCTGTTGGAATTTTGGTTGGTGGTTAGTGATAATAATAACAAAAACAAAAGAGAGAGAGAGTTTCCATTTGCAATACAGCATGTCCAGTAGCTGCACAAAGTAAGTTATAGTTGTTTGGTCTTAATCCCAAATTCTTCTTTATATATTCTTTCTTTCTCATGGCTCTCAGGCTCAGTGGCACTAATGCTACAGGCCAGGAAACAGATTAATGCTTTTGTAACATCAACTCGCCAGTCACACACCATCCCCCTTAGAGATACAATTGCATCATTGTAAAGGTAAAAGCTGCATGTAGAAAACTACAGAGCGAGTTTGGAAGTGTTAAGAAGGCATAGTAGCTGTCATGGAGCTGCACTCTGCAAGGTTTTTTTCTTTCGTGTTTGTGGGTTAGGTGTTTCTTCAACCTAGATGTATAGGTTTACACACCCAACACCTTTCAGCATTTCCAGACTTAACATCTGTGAATCATAAAACATCAGGCTGTGTGCAGTTCGTCATTGTGTCAAAGTATAAAATTCAGCTTGAAGCAGCTTCTTCGGCTGACCTAAACACAGCACGTCACGTGGGTTTATTTTCAGCTTTAAGCATGTGAGCTTCGGTTTATTTTTATATCCTGCTGTTAAACATCTCTCACAAATCATACGAGGGGAAACTATCTGATTATTTGTGAAAGTCAGACTGACTGAGCTCCGTATTTAGCTTATGGGTCACAATGATGTTGGTGAAGTGAGAGTTCAACAGACCTGGTACAGATGTTTTTAGCTGCTCTCCCCATATGTTTAATACAATATGTAAAGTGGAATACAATATGTAAAGTGACCACGCCTTTAGGGTTTGTTCAGTTTGAGCTATGAATGTGTTTACTTACACCACCATGAGTTTAAAATCTCCTTTTAGCACGCCATCTCAAACAAATGAAAGAGAGAGACAAAGGTTTCTCTGTGGCTGACCTCTAGAGAGAGTGGATCGTCTATCATTGTGTTAGACCTTTACACAGAAGAAAGAGAGTGATTCCTTTTCCCTTTTATAGGCATCGCAGTAGCTCGTCCAAACAAGTGGGGATAAGATACTAACTTATCAGGCAGCGGTGAGGTCTGTCCTCTCAGTTTGTGCTCATACTTTCTCCTCTCCATATTTCACAAGAATGTTTGCTCTCCACAGCTTTTGTTTATATGAATTCCCCTCTATCCTCAAATGGCCCTCGCAATGCAATGACAGAGATCAGCAAAAGTTCAAAAGTGTACACTATTTACCCTTTTCATCCCGCTAGCCCCAAACCAGACCATGTGAAAGTCACAATGATCAGTTTTAGCAGTGATAACAATAACTTTGCAATTTAAATTATTTATTTTGTTTATTCAAATATTTAAAGTGTAGTGATACTTTTACTTATTGTCAACAAATCCCATTTCTCGGTGCAATAGAAAACAAAAAACTAAAATAAATAATCCCAAATGCAGTATTTACTTCTGTGCGAGGAATGTTGTCTAATAAGTAGTGCACAACTGTTAAAATTAAACTATGTATTTGTGACCTGATTTAGGTCAAACCAATGGACTTCAGCTGAGTGCCACCGTCAGCGTGGGGAAATCAGAAAGTACCGAGAGATGCTAACACATTGTTAGTTTTGGTCTTTTCATTTGATTCGTTGACAGTAAGAAACATAAATAACAACACCAGCCTTAAATAAAGACACATTTTAAATTAGCTTAGGTGATTAGTGATTCGTAATGCATTTTTCAAGGTCCATCTTTGTTACAGGTATAAGAATAATGCCATTGAACACATCACAATGATTGCCTTCCTTCATCAATTAAATTAACGAATCAGGGTAGTTTGGAGCATATACCTCAATATGTTTACCCCAGCTGAATTCTGATGCTGCTGTTGCAATTTGCCAATTTATGTCCAGTACTTCAGTTCAGATAAAGCTATCAGACAATTAGCTTAGCTTAGTATTAAGCCCTTTAGCATAGGTTTTGGACATGCAGCGTCGTTAGGTTTAGGTAACAAAACTACTTGTTTAGGTTTAGGAAAACATCATGGTTTGGGTTAAAATAACTGTGTTACTTACATGACTTAACTTACGGAAGTTAAAGGGGCTATATGTAGTTTTTTTTTAATGAAATTAATCACTTTTTTATCGCCTATGTGTGAAGGGGTTGTATTTCACTTAAAAATAATCTAAAAAAAAGATCTAGCCTGTTTTTTCTGTTAAGCAACCTCTGACGGCCAGTATGCCTAATCCTATGTAAAGACTCCAGGTCGGATGTTCCATGAACTAGCTCAGCTGTTAAGTGCATGGGTGTTCCCGAATGTCTCCCCTTCTGATTCTGCACTGTAGACACAGCAAAAACACCGCAGCTAACGTGATGGGGTCCACTAAAACCTAAAAACGAACAGACTCCAACACAAACTCCACGTAAGAATAAAAACCATTCAGTTAACATTTATTGTCGTTTTACGGATACTCAGTTACACAGCTTCTCCACCGTCTCAGTCGCTGTAGGCTGACTGACCTGACCCACATAATGTACAACAACGGAACATAACGGTGCAGGACACCACAGTGGAAGACCCATTCACTACTGCGGCCTAACTGTTATACCATATAACCATTTTGTTATCATGTAAAATGTTTTCTGTGGCCAAGGTATACACTCTTTACACTTTAAACTGTATTATTTTTGCAAAACTTAAATAAAATTGAGCCATAGCTTATTTGAAAATGAAAATGAATCACTAATGTTAGTCTTCTATCATCTGCAATGCAGATGAAACATCATCCTCTCTTTTGAAACTGAGCATGATGTTCTGTGAGCTCTGATACTGTGAAGTTATACACTGTATGTCCTCTTGTGATGTCCCTCCATAGATAATCACTCTGTTCAGACACATCCACGAAAATGTTGATAACAGTCTGAGAGAGAGAGAGAGTGTGTCTTTGGTTTTACTGCAGAGGAAGTGGCCCATTAGAGGCGGTGGTTTGATTTGAAATTGTGCACAAGTGTTTGGGAATGTGCGTTGGTGTGTCCACACAAACACACACACACACACATCCATGTACACACGCACTCACCTTGTACACAGTATTTGCCTGCAGCTCTGTTGTGTTTGTAGCTCTTGACAAAAGGACCTTGATGTTGTTCCAGCGGTGTTTCATGCTGTGGTCCAGTCGTGCTGCTCCTCTCATCTCTACCTCTAATCTCTAAAACACAATCTGACTGCTCTGTTGCTGCTCTGAAAAGGCTGCCTGGCTCCTTGCTGTGTGTTGCAGGAAATCTGCTACATGCAGTCGCACAGTACGTCTGCTGTGTCTGGCTTCTGTCATCTTGTGGTTACTGACTATCAGGAAGAATATTTGTAGATGTTTTAGACAAGCTGTGCAGATGTTGCTCCTACTTTCCCCTCTCTGTTATTAAATATATTTTAAGTAGATTAAAGGGTCAGTTCACCAAAATAATTGTGAACCAAATCTTCTCTCTCACAGTTAAGGCTTGTGCAGACTAGGCCTACACGATTTTCAGCATCGCCGGATGGCCATGCCGTCATTGAGTAGCCTAGTTCACACTTAACAACTGGCAACCACCGATCAACTGCTGATTTACTCCCGATCACAGCCTGACGGTCGCCGAGCAGCAAATCGGGCTAAAAATCGTGTAGTGTGAACTAGGCTTTAGTGGTATTTAGGTTTACACTGGGTTCAAGTTATGTGGGAGCCAGTGGGAGCTCAGCTCCCATAAGGATGGTCTGAGATCCCATGGAAGCAGTAAAATCATGCACCTGTGGGGGTCACTAATTCATTTATCAACAACCATTATTTTGAATCACGAATGATGTATTTTTCATTATGATTAGTACCTACTATTATTTACATTAAACATCAAGATAAACTGACTTAATGAACACACTTTCCTAATGAACTACGCTGCGCATCGCATGATTGACAGGATGGATGCACTTCTCCAACCAAGTTTACTTGACCCCAGACTTAGTCCGAAAGTCCACAGAGCCAGAACAGCCTTTCTACTAAATGTTTGTGCTTACACAAGAAGTGCTGTAGTGCGTCCATAGACTGAGTGCGTCCAGGAAGCGTCCCAGCGTCAAGCAGCAAGAAGTCATGATGTTTTGTTAAAATATGATAAGTTTGCCATTTGTTCGAAATACAAATGTTACTTTATTATTTACATTTATTAAAACGTGTCTCCTTGGAATCTAATGTGTTTGTTGGTAATTGTCTTGTGGTGGTTTTCCATGGAAACCATGAGTGAAAAGACTGTTTCATTTGATAAGAGTTGCTGAATTCTCATGCTATGATGTACCACATCTACCAGCAGGGCCCGGGGTCAGTCGCCCACATACACCCCTGCACCCCTGCAACCTGCACCCTGCACCCTGCACCCATGCTACCGCTACCGCTACTTATAGATAAGACTTACACCCTGTCAAGATTATAACTCCAACCCTGGCTGAACAGATAGGTTTAGTTCAACTATAGACAGTATAAAAGTTGAGGAAGCATCCACAGTGTTGTCACTCATTTATTATTATCAATGGCTTCTTCTTTCCTCTATTTACAGTAACAAGTTTTAACCTCATCAAGAGCTCAACAGCCAGTGTTTCGTGAGAAAATTATTCAGTGACACCATTCATTAAAACCACAAAGGAAGTGAGTAAAGAACAGACTCAAGGCAACATAGGCACGGATTTCCTGTAACTTAAATTTCGTTCTGAGTGAAAACAAGAACTAAGGAAAACACAACTTTCAAAAAAGAAAGGGTTTTACTTCACTGTCTCCTTCTGTGGTGAGTAAGACTGTTAAAGTTAGTGTGGAGGGACTGCACAAAGAATACTATTTTATTTTCATTCACTTCTAATTCATCAGTGCCAGTAATCTACCAGATGTTATGACACCTGTATGTAAATGTGTAAAAGTGCTGGTTTCAAGCTCCACTGGTTTTGCAAGAAGCATTTGTATTACAGCCCAGTTTCTGGGAATATGGCCTCCTATACTCCAACATACAGTAGAGTGTGGTTGATTAAGCAAATGCAAAATACTTACTACAGTATTTGTTCCGCAATTTATCTTAGTATTTAAGAAAATACTAAGACAAATCTCCATAATCCTCCAAAACCACATAATCCTCGAAACTTCTTGAAGGTGCAGCGCAGTTTCTTGCATGTTGCAGCAGCAGTTTAGTTAATGCATGGTTAAAGTAATCCAAATAAAACTACAATATTACACTGCACAAAATTATAAACACAACGTTTTTGTTTTTGCCCCCATTCATCACAAGCTGAACTTAAAGATCTAAGACTTTCTCTATGTACACAAAAGGCCCATTTCTTTCAATATTGTTCACAAATCTGTCAGAATCTGTGTGAGTGAGCACTTCTCATTTGCTGAGATAATCCATCCACCTCACAGGTGTGGCATATCAAGATGCTGACCAGACAGCATGGCTATTGCACAGGTGTGCCTTAGGCTGGCCACAATAGTGGCAGTTTCACTGTGCTGGGAGGGTCCAGAGGGGTGCGGAAACCAGTCAGTATCTGGTGTAACACACCTCCTTTGCATAGAGCTGATCAGGTTGTTGATTGTGGCCTGTGGAATGTTGGTCCACTCCTCTTCAATGGCTGTGCGAAGTTGCAGTCAGGTCAAGACCTTGATGAGGACGACGAGCATGCAGATGAGCTTTCCTGAGCGAAATGGGCCTTTTGTGTACATAGAGAAAGTCTTAGATCTTTGAGTTCAGCTCATGATGAATGGAGGCAAAACAAAAGTGTTGCATTTATAATTTTGTTCAGATTTCTTTGCTGCCAATCAAAGACATTGCTGCTCAAAGCGAGATTGCCCACTGGGGGTTATTTTTTTTCTCTCGATTGTTTATTCTTCATTAAAATTGCATAAGAATATACAGTCCTGAAATAGTGACACTTCTCTCACTTCCGAGGAATTTAGCAAGAACAACAATCTACAGCCATGCTATCAGCTTAGTGAAGCAGATACTTTGAGCTAAATGTTAACTTTGGCATGCTAATGTCCTTACAATGACACCGCTAACATGCTGATGCTAAGTAGGACTAATGTTTACCATGTTCATTTCTGTGTAGTGTGTTTTTGACACAAAGTACAGCTGAGGATGTCATTAATCCATCCACTAGTTGTTGAGACATCAACATTCACTGAAAAACACAAGAGAAATAGTTGAAACCATGAATGTCTGTACTGATTTTGTGACAATCGATCTTTTAGATGTTTAGTGAAATGTTTGACCCGCTAATGGTGCTTGTGGGAAAGTCAAGGGAATCATAAATCCTAAATGTTAACATCAGCATGCCAACAAGCACGTAAATAAATAAGTCATAGGAAATCTATCCCAAATTTCATTACAATCCATTCAATAGTTTTTGAGACATTTCAGTCTGGACCAAAGTAGTGGACGGCCCGACCAACGGACTGCAACACCACTGCTATTATGACCTTTATCATGATGTTAACTGCTAATGTTACTCATTCACTCTCCTCTAGCCTTTCTTGGGATTCAACCCATCAACTTTCCAGGTACCTCCCACCTGTCTGGCCTGCAGGCTACAGCCACCTCAGCCTCCATGACCTCCATGTCAGCATACCAGGGTAGATGGATTATAGTTGAGTACAGGCAGGACCTCAAGAGCCGGATACATTAGCAAGCAAGCGTTTTACTACGCAGCATTATGGCAGGTGATGAAGAATCTGGGCTGCTCCTCTCTAGCATTGCCCATGTTCCCCAGAGTCAGCATTTGTGTGGGATTCATATTTCTGATTAGGTAGATATATTAGCAAAAGGTCACCAAGACGGCATGTGGACCAGGTCATAACTACCTGTGCCTTTGCTTTATAACTCATCTGTTTATTTCTTACTCTTGCTCTTAAATAACACATTCCTGTAACTAAACCTTTCTTCTCCCTAACTCTTTTTCTGTTGCTCTTTCCACATGTCTCTGCTTGACATCACATCTCTATCAGGCAAAGTTTTACCTTCTTTCCCCTGTTCTTTATTGTATAAGCAGTATGATTCTTTCATGATTTGGTTTGTCAGGACATTTGGAGCATCATGGGCACAAATTAGCAGCATTACTCTCATGACAAGAATATGCTGTCAGGAAATATATTACCAGGAAACATGTGAAAATACTTTTGATCATGTTCCCATTGATGACAAGGTCAATTAGCTACATTCTCCAAACACAGGGAGAGTTTGTAATAGTTGAGGGTTGTCATTTTCCTGGGTTTAAGAGCAGTTTTGACGTGTCTTCTTCAGAATAAGTATCAATTTAGGAAAACAAGTTTTCTTACTGACTGTAGTTGGACAACAGTGAAGCCCTCTGATTTCATCAGGGTGACCATTTGATTTTGTTTGCCAATAAAAATAACAGCCTGGACATTACATTTAAAGTGGTTATATTATGCTCATTTTCAGGTTCAAGTTTATTTAGGGGTTTTACCAGATCAGGTTTACATGGTTTCATTTTCATAAAACACCATAGTTTTTGTGATACTGCACATTGCTGCAGCACCTCTTTTCACCCTGTGTGTTGAAGGCTTCATTTTAGCTATGGAGTGATACATCTTGCCTCTACATGATCTTTGTTGGGAGTTGCACATGCACACTTCCTAGTTAAGGACTACTAGCCAATCAGAAGTCGAGTAGGGCGGGTCCTGAAAAACCAATAAATACGGATTCAGTTTAGCTGTATGTGTTCCCCTTACCAGCTTAGCAACATGGACTGGAGCAAAAGTCTCAGAGTGGTGAGTTATTAATCTGTAAAAAATGTATCACAAGAAAGAAGAGAAAAAAAGATGGCGCCAGTGTTCATGGCAAGCCGTCTGTCCTCGTCTTGTCTGCTTAGTTTGCTGTTTGCTATCATTCTATTTATATGTTGTCAAGATGTCTCTGCTATACTCATCTATGATCGCCAAACACTTCTCAATATTCGGGCCTCTGAAGATGTACTTAGAAGGCATGATTTGAGAGATTATTGGACTAGGAGTCCTCCTCCTTTCCTGGCTGATATACCAACGCACCTGCGCCGTCCACCATGTGATATTCCCCGAAAGAAGCACTTCAGGCAACGGAGAAAGCGTGGAGGTGTGCTGGTCAGATACAAGGCTTACCTTGCATCCGCAGACGGGACGTGTCCTTACAATGGATGCTACGCTCCTGCCGCACTGCGACTGCTGGAGGTGCGAGGCCGATGGCTCCGTCCCATTCTGCCCATCTTGATACCTCTGAGGCCGACCTGTTCATTCTGCC